CCTTCGGCGCCTCTCTGAGCTTTGTCCCCGCAGCCCGAAACGTCGGCTGGGTTACTGGGGAGCTGGGCTGGGTTTGTGGCCGTTGGCCAAACGGGTTGAAGCCTCCCGACACCGCCCGTGTTGTAGAAAGCCCCCAGCGTGTCGGGGCGGGGAGGCAGCCTCGCTATTGCCAGTTCTCTGCATCACGCTTTTTGGCTAATTCTTAATTAGCCCCATTTTCAAAATTACTGAGGTTTAGTAATTGTGCTCTTTGGGTTCTCCTGCGCAATAACTTTTCACTGTAGTTGGCCATTTCCACCAGGTTTAGTGGACACATATAGAAGTTGGCGTATGCTGGACGCTGTATAAATACCAAGATATGTGTGAGGTGTTTTCTGACGGGGCAGCAAACGTGGCTGCCGATGGGGAGGGTGCGTGATGGTGACGTAGCTGTCGCCAGAAAACATGCACTGAGAGGACACCAGCTGCTAGACCAATTTCACTCATTTCCAGACAAACCAACCAGGCATGTTTTGACAATAAATGACAATACAAAAATGAAAGTTAGCAAATCTCATTACCTCACCAAAGTGAGGTTCCTATTTTAAAACTACTTTCTTTACTGATGCAAGAATAATTTTCTCTCTTCAAGTTTACTGTTTTCCTACCGTATCGTACGGTTTTAGTCTGTTGGCTCAAATCTCAAATGAAGGCAACTTATTTCCTCGCTAACATCTTTTCACGTCTCCTTCCATCTGTTACTTCTTCGCTATCCAAGTGCTTGTAGCGTTGCAAAGAGCGCTGGGGTAGAGGTGATACACCTCGTGCTCTCGACTTCTGGGCTCTGCTGAGCTTCGCTCAGGAGCTGGGTAAGCAGGGGGACGGCACTGAAGCACATCAACACTCTCCAACCTCAAGTCTGCCTTCTCTAAGCAGCATAAACTATTTTAAGCGGACACCTAAGGCCACCCCAGACACCGGTGGGGTAGCGCCTCACTCCCTGCCCCTGAGGTAGTGTCTGTGAATGCCAGTGATCCAGCTGTGATAAAATGATCTCTTGGATCTTAGAACCAGGTATAAGTTGCTGTTGCTGGAGATTAATTTCGCCCTTTGGGCCTCCAGGCTTTCTCCTCCGTGCTTCAAGCAAAGCTCAGCCAACGAATCGAGCTCTCTGGGTCAAACAAGGCTGCAGCGAGGGGTACAAGGTTAACTATGGCCATGGAGTTGAGTAACAGAGGTGGGGGGAAGAGTGGCAAAAAGAGAAAAATTGTTTTCAGAGGAGACTTGAAATGAGACAGGGAAGCGGTGAGGTCAGGAGACGCGGCGGGCATGGAGATGTGGGAGA